CCCACGCGCTGCCGGCGCGTGTGGCGGAGCGTGGGCACTGTTGCTGAGGGACATTTTTGTCCCAATGCGATCCTCTCGTTATCACGAACGCGTAGGTGTGCTCGGATTTCAATTTGGATACCATTAGAGTCCCAAACGGATATCGCATATTGCATATTTTCTGGGTTCGCTAGGTTTGGACCGTTGGATGGTCTTGAAGTTATAATATGTTGATTTAGGTATTACCAGGATCGTGTAGGATTCAACGGATCTTAAAACGGAGTCCCGGATACTCCGGAAATGCCAACCTTAGGGTTAGGTTTTAGTAACCGTCCGATCATGCGATCGAGAGCGATCCGACCGTCCAATCATGCGATCGAGAGCGATCCGACCGTCCAATCTGGACCAAACTTGCAGAACGAGTGTCCTATACCAGGTAGCATTCATAGAAACTGTCGAATTGAAATTTGGAGGTCGTGGGCCCCGCGGCCCGTTTGACTAACCAAAGTCCTAACATAGTAAGGAACCCAAATCCTAACTAAGTAAGGACTCGCCAACACTCCCCCTCAAGTTGGGGCAAAGATATTTCGCATGCCCAATTTGACAAGCGAGTCATAGAACACCATACTCGGCATTGACCAATCGAACAACTGTAGAGATATGACAAGCAAGCCATAGAGCACCATACTCGACATTGACTAATCGAACAACTGTAGAGAAGGCCTTGTCATAAACCACAAGTGAAACAACTGACAAACCCTAACAAATAGGGAACATAGAAGAACACAGAAACCATGTGAGCACGGTAGTAGGTAAGGCAGAACACAGAAATCCTGTGAGCATGACAATAGGTAAAGCAGAACACATAAGTCCTGTGAGCACGTCAGTAGATAAGGCAGAACACAGAAACCCTGTGAGCACGACAGTAGGTAAGGCAGAACACAGAAGCCCTGTGAGCATGACAGTAGATAAGGCAGAATACAAAAGCCCTGTGAGCACGATAAGGCAAAACACAGAAGCCCTGTGAGCACGGCAGTAGATAAGGCAGAACACAGAAGCCCTGTGAGCACGGCAGTAGATAAGGTAGAACACAGAAGCCCTGTGAGCACGACAGTAGGTAAGGCAGAACACAGAAACCCTGTGAGTAAGGCAGTAGCTAAGGCAGAACATAGAACCCTTGTGAGCACAACAATAGGTAAGGCAGAACACAGAAACCTTGTGAGCACGGCAATAGGTAAGGCAGAACATAGAACCCTTGTGAGCACGACAACAGTAGTATATAAGGCATGAGCAACAATATTGGCACCATAATAGGCAGGAGCAACAATTCTGGTACCACAACGGAAACACACCAGCAAAGGCACGAACACGGTAAAAGCAACAACAACAATGTCCCCAGTAAGAGACAACAAAACTGACAACATCAAGAGCAACACAAGGCACTGGCACCAGCAAGAGCAATATAAGGCACTGGCACCAGCAAGACAAGGCAAGGCAAACAATTGTGGTAGCAGCAATAACAGAGACAACTTCAATTCACTCCCCATAAGCAAACAACTGTGGTAGCAGCAACAATAGAGATAACTTCTCTTCACTTCCCCTCTCCCCCTGAAGAGAAGGGGTCGATGAAGCACATATGAGCAGTGGTACTTGAGAAACAGGCACGGACAATCAGCCATGATAGATAGGTAGGTGAATTGCAATGGAATAGATGAGCAGCAGTGTCACTCCCCCTCAAATCTGACGATGTATGAAAGTCGAGATTTGGAGAAAGTAACACTCAAAAAATAAAGTTGCATCTATTTCCCCATCAAATCTGATACTGGTAAAGGATCGAGATTTGAAAGAAGAGAAATTGAAATAATAGTAAAGAGACGCAAACATGCCAGTCTCGTGCCAGAAACAAATGCAAAAGGGGAATGTGGTAGCATACGGCTGTCCCATGAAGAAAAAACTTCAGAAAATGAGAATAGTAAGGGAGGAAACCCAGCAAATCATGAACAGAGACACAGACAAAGATAAGGTGCTCAAACTGAGAAGCGGAAAGGCAACTCAAGAGAGCAACCGAAGAAGACAGAGACCGGTAGAACAGTCAAAGGAAAGGCTCGACTAGCGGTGATGAGGCTCGTGGAGGAAAACAATGGCTCGGTGAGCAATGACGAGGCTCACGAAGTAAAGAGACTTGTTATGAAGTTTCAAAGATAGAGAAGCTGAGACATCAAGAAAGACAATTTGGCATACAAAGATGGAAAAATAAAAAATTTGGAACAGTAGCAAAGAAGCATGTGAAGGCTAGGTGCGGTGAAAATACATATGAGAGGATGAACAAAAGATGGTGACTATACAAGATGAAGACCCATGATGGGTTAGGAATGAGGAGTGCCAACGACTCTCAATTTGGCAGAGGATCTCAAGGATTAGCAACGACTCTCAAGAAGACCGCAAACACAGGTCACAAGAAAACCTAGGCTCTTATACCATGTCAAACAAAGTATGGCAAATATTCAATTATGCTCAGATACGCTCATATTAGCTCATCTTTAATTCTTCTCCAATATGAAGGTATTTATACAAGTACAAAGATATGTTAACCCTAAAAAAAATAGGAAATATAACTAAATTACAATGGGAAATAAATCTTAATTATAATAGGACTAGATAAATGGGTAATTAACCAAAGTCCTAACATCGTGTACGTCTAAAAAAACTCCATCTCGTAGTTTAAACTATCTCTTGCCTTAAAAAAAACATTGTACATTTTTCTGCATTTTGAAGAATCAAGTTTATGTCATTCATAAGGTATATGATGGTTTAATCACTTGCTTTCAAGAGCTAAAAAGTAGACAACTTACAATGGTATATGATGAATGGTACAACACATGAAAATGGTAAATATATAACACACTTTCTTCCACCCTCAAAAGAATGAAAGAAAAAATAATATTATGAAAGAATTTACATATTCAGATTGAAATTAGTAGGGATATACATATCCCATCCTTAGCATGCACAGCTTCCTCTTTGCTCTGCTTCTGAAACACTTTCTGAAATACCTTGGAAGTAACTGCAACATTGCAAACTGGTATATCAGCATCATGAAAGGGAAATCAATAAAAGATGTTGGGGAAAAAAACAGCATCATGAGCTCAATGCATTATCACAATGTTGGTGATTCTGTAAAGTGTACTCACATGTCTTGTTCATGTTCATTGATCATTCCTGTTTTTGCAATACATAGAAACGCTTCGTCGACATTATAATCCTCTTTCGCAGAGGTCTCAAAATAGGGTATGTTTCCCTTTGAAGCACACCACTCTCTAGCCTTCTTCTCAGAAACCTGCACAATTGGGGTGCTAATTTAATTTGTACTACCAAGGACAAGGCCTAGAAAAAAAAGTTCAGTATGCATTCTGTTCATACCGCTCGGCTGTTTCCACCATCTACATCGATTTTGTTTCCAATTAATACGAAGGGAAATGCCTCGGGGTCAGTCGGATCAGCCTGGTAACCATTCATGAAAATACCAATAATCAGAATCAGGATCAGTTGCAGACCATCTTATCTTAATCTACCAGAAATAAAAAACTAAACCATATTTTAAATTTCCTATGACCTTGTAAATCATTTGCTGTCTTGTTACCATGAACAGAAAAAATTGGAAATTAAAGAAGCAAGCAACAAAGCAATTCAACGAAACCTGTTTGAGAAACTCTTCATGCCAGTTCTGAAGTGTTTCAAATGATTTGCTCACATTCACATCATACACAAGAACACAGCAATCGGATCCCCTATAAAACGCAGCTCCAAGACTATGAAATCTTTCTTGCCCCGCTGTGTCCCAAACCTATCCAAGACAGATGCAGCAGCAAAGAAAACTTAGCATAAAGCCTTTTGTTAAGGAATTTTATATGAATGGATACTACTAATTGCTCTGATTAAATTACTCACTTGCAAAGTCACCAACTTGTCATCAATCTGAAGTTCCTTCGTGACGAAATCAGCACCGATCGTAGCTTTATACTGTCGATGGAACTTCTTGTACACATATCTAAACAACAAATTAAGGATCCACAGAGCATATATAACAATGGATTTCCAATCCAATTGCAGCAAATTCAAATTTCATGCATGACTTTGCATAAATCAAATGTGGAACAAAATAGTTTGTGAGTGTAAAGGATACTGATTCATCAAAGACGTCTTTCCCACCCTGAAATACCACACAAAACCAAAAAAAAAAAAAAAGAAGCCCATATTAAAGAAAATGCAGGAAACAAAACCCATTACATCAAAAATATAAAAAAAATAAAAAAAAAAAGTAAGACATACCCACTATCTCCAAGGACAATGACCTTAAGCAGGGTTCTTCTTTTCATAGAAATATCCATTGAAGATTGAAGATTGGACCACTGTAGCTCTCTGTAATATACAAAGAAGACAAAGAAAGAAAAGGGTTTTTTTTCTTTTGAAGCTCCAAAACTTTAGCTCTCTGCTTCCTTCGAATATCCAATCCAACAGTGTTGGGAAAGCTTGGGAAAAGAGAGATCACGGTTGAAGAAGAAAAGGGCAGGCCAACTTTTCCAAGTGGTTCCTGATTCTCCTTCTTTCTTCGTGCTCAACTTTTTTCTTGGGATTCTTTTTTTCTTTTTCTTTTTTGCTTGTGATGTGTTTGAATTATACAAAGTGAGAGCCATGTGAACTTTGCCAACCAAAACCAACGTTACCCGCCAGCTGACCTCCTTTTTTATTTTATATATTTTTTTTTAAATATTTCGTACGGTATTGGACTTAGAAAATTAAAGTGGTTTAGTTGACTATTTGCTTACGTGCCAGTCGTGCTTGCCTCAACATTTTGTGCTCTCTGCTTGATTTTAATTGGCAGGTTGGACAGGTTTTCAATTTGCAAAATTGACCGGCCGTTGCTGCATTTTTAATTAAATTTTTATATATATTAAAATTCTTCAAGTTTGCATTCTGCCCTGCTCACCATCAATTTGGACTTTGGATTCTACTTTCCATTTTGAACTGTTTTGTAATCGATCTCATGGAAATGGAATATGCATTGTTGCTAATTTGGGCTTTTAGCTTGGCATGCTTGATTTCGCATTTGGGCTTTTTCTCAATTATAATACACATTATTCACCTCACAAAATTAAATGGGAAGTATTATTTTCCCGACACTTATTAGGAATGGAAGAAATTATGAATTGAGGAAGAGAAAATTAAGGAAATGGAATTGGATCAACTAGGGAGAGATCAACTACTCCCCATAGTTTATCCAATTCTTGATTTAAAGATATTAGTTTATGAATTTTAACGTGGAACTCACATAATCTTCTTCTTATTTCTTTATTTCTTATGTGTTAGTACATGCTGGGAAATCATGAATTAGAGTAATATCAATACCTATGTGTTAGAAGTGCACCTTTTGAAGAAAATTTTAGCTTATAGAGCCTTGACTCATTGTATTACGCCTCAATCTGAGAAAGGACTAATATTTCAAACTAAAGCATCAATTAGGGGTGGACATGAGTTGGGTTGGATTGGTTTTAGTCCCAACTCGTAACCCAACCCGATATATAGCATTTTATGATTTATTGGGTTGTTCGATTAACTTAACTCAAAATTAAGGCTTATTTTTAAGCTAACCCAACCCAATCTACTATGATCGGGTTGGATAGGTCGGTTGGATTGACCTAAAATTATGCCCACCCCTAGTAATTTTAGAAAATTTAGTTTAGGTCATAATTATGTTTTGAAATTTGAGAATGCAATAGTCCTATTTTCATTTTTAAGTCTAATCAATAGTACGTTATGTTTTCTTAGCTACAAGTATGTACCATAATTAAATTAGCTCAAAACAAAATTCCTGCATTGAAAATATGAAGAGAAATTTACCTTCAATAATAATAATTTATCTATAAAAACTCGTAAGCGTAAAACAATTCATCTGAATTAAAGAGGGAATAATGTCGTATCTATGTGGCGAAAATGACCAAAATGCATTAAGAAGTTTTTGCTACGTACGCACAACATCAGAATGACCAAAATGCATTAAGAAGTATTTGCTACGTACGCACAACATGAGAAGACTTGACCGAGTCTTTCACAAGATTAGCGAGCATGCATCAGCTGAGACATAAGAGGTAGTTTTTAGAAGGTGACAAACTAAGTTGGTACAAAATGATAACTGAGTCATAGTTGACACTTGTATGATTATGTCTAAATATTAAAATATTGACCGAGGTCTAACAAAACATTTTTATGGGTATCAGAGGACAGAGAGTCAAGTGGACAGACATATATCAAGGGCAATGATTTTCCCACTCCTATTTTATCCACTTACACTCCTTTTTTAGTTATAAAAAAGGAGTGTAAGTGGATAAAATAGGAGAAAAAAGAGTGGGGAAATCACCACTCTATATCAATCGTGTCATAGGGGAATGGTTGGAGAAAACATCAAAACCCTAAAATATTAGAAAGCATGATGGAACTATCCAAAAGTGAGTTGAAACACAAAACACAAAACACAACACCAAAAATGAAATTCTGTTAGGTTGATGCCGTGCCGGCTAACTAATCCAAACAATACCGTATTTGAGTAGTACGAATTTCTTGCTTTACGGGTAATTTTTTCTAATTTGGGGCTGCTAAAGATTTTCTTTTTGACAAATCTAACACTTTGGTTCCCATGATATATAGTAGTTTCTTCAAACTTGCTCCATGTATTTCACTTGGCCAAAGCCAAACCAAATATACAACAAAAATCCATGTTGTTGGGGCGGCTGAGCTCCATATAAACTGGGAAAGTAACAGAACAGAACAGAACGTGCATCTCCCCGAAGACTAGTTTAAGTCCGATAAAAGTAAAACCTTGGAAGATGTGTAAAGTCCGACAACATTTGTAGCCCCACAAACCGTTGTTGCTTTGCTTTGCTTAAATATTATTCAACAGGTATCTTACACATGCATGACTTTAATTTCCAGTTCAAGAAAGTCGGCCCATTCAGTTTTCACATCGCATCTATTGAAAATTATTTTGTCAACAAAACATGTAGAGGGGACTAAGAGAAAATTAAAAACATTAAAACAAAAAATAAAACACTACAAATTGTATGAGGCAGGGTTGCATCCAAGTGTGGAACAAGGACTTTTTGTAAGGACTTTTTTCCCATATTATTATATTGGGCGACTGACTGACTTTGTATAATGAATTCTTGTGATGAACTTACTACTTTTGACTGATACAGGATGAGTTAATTTTCACTACGGGAGGTAAATTTCCTACGAATTAGTACCAAAGTATTTTATTTATGAAAATCTACACTGGGTTGAAGTCCAATCTAGTCTAAAAGGTGTTTCCGCCCTTCGTTGTATTTGCCGTATAGAGAGAGAATTTAGATGGAAGACCAAATAATTTTCACGACATCATCATCATCATCATAGTTGAAAATTGAAACCAACGAAGTGAAAGGGATATTACTAGCTAGTTTACTAGCTTTAGCAACATGTCTTGCTGTCAAAAGAAGTTTCCTTCCTATTTTCCCAATCAAATTAATCCAATATAAAATCTCAGAAAACAAATTAAAGTATGAATCTAGACATTATAAAATTCTGATGATAAGGTCAAGGATCTTGTCGAATTTTGATACTTCTTTGCACTTTCCCTCTCACTTCTCACCCATCAAGAAACACCTCAATAGTTATTGGGTCTGCTTCATAGGATTGTCTTATATGCTGGTCACCCATTGGATATTGACCTCTGCTTCCTTTTTGACTAAATGAAAACAACACAAATTAAATATGTAATTAATAATTAAGGAAAGTTGAATATGTAATTAATTAAGGAATAAATTATCCTAATTTTTTTTTTAATTTTCTTTTCACCCAACATGGTGTGACGTGGTGATTAATCTACAGATGCAGTTTTTAGTTTGTGTGGACAATTTTTATAAGTAAATTTAGGTTTTAGTCATAAAAAAACTTTCACTTTTGGAAAAAATCAAAGCTTTTTCAAAAAAGACAGAAAAACCTCTCAACTTTCAAATCAAAGACATACAAATGTAAAGGATTCCTTAGGAAATCCAAAAATAAATAAGGGCAATTTTGTCCATTTTGACTTCTTTTAAAAAATTTCTCTCTCCTTTTGTTTTTTTTCCAAATTCTCACATTTTTATATCGACTCACATCAATGGCTCATGCATGATAAGTTTAATAGATGACTGCCTAGGGTTTCTCTATTATTAGGCAGATGAGGCCAAGTGCCTAATCATTCCATACAAAATTATTATATATGTTCAAATATGATTCGTTTGATTAGATATGATAATTACCTTTTCTGTCTTATTCACACATTAACACATTACCTTGTATGCTTTTACTGGTTGGATTTGAGGGAATATTTGGTGAAGAAGCCATCCAAAAAGCAGAAAATAAGCCGCTTAAAGTGACATAGAAAGCAGACGTGGGATATTAGTATCCTCATTTAATATAAATTTTTTTTTCTCTCTTTATATAAATAGATATAGATATACATATAAACAAGTTTGTTGTGTAAAAAATTAGTTTGGTTAATTGTGTTTGGCACTAACTTAACATGTTTATTACACTCTAAGCAGCTAATCCGTCAAACTCCTGTTGACCACTAATTCTTTTCAGCCTACTTGGTCAATTATTCAAATAAAATAATTAGTCGGGCCGAGAAGAAATGGTAACAAAGGCGTTCTTCTTGGTGTTAGTGTGTGTGGCGTTCCAATACCACTGTCACAAATCGGCGTGGGTACTAGTGAATAATGTGGTGTGTATTTCTGACTACTTTTGAGCGATTCACGTGTTTACAGACTTTTAAATTCCATCATACGCAATAAGTCTTAAACTGCTGTTTCTCTTAAGGGACTTTAGTTGGGTAGTGGTGACCCCTATAAGAATACCTCAATTTGATGCTCTATATTGATACGACGGCAGCTCCATACCCTGAATAGTGGGCGGGAGCAGCTTTTAAAGAAATGACTTTGTAAATGGAAAACAAAGACCTTGTTGATATACTGAATGTATGGTTACAATGGGTGGCGCTCAAGAACCTTGAATGTTTTTGAAGTTCTTATTGATATCTCTACTTGAAACCCGAAACCCTAAAAATTCCTCGACCTTGAAGAGTTCGGTCGAACTGTCTCTTCATTATTTGGGCCACTTCGTGTGAGCCCAAATGTCCCTCAAAGCCCAACAAGTTGTTCCCTTCAATTTCCTTTACTTTTGAATGACCATTTCCTTTGTGACCATGGGCGAAATTTTCTAGGTCTAAACAACTCCATAGAGAAGAATGACCTCTTTTATAAAGCATATCAAATAACACGGTAGATAGAAAAATTTAGGGAGTTTCACTAAAACACCCAAAATAGGAGCTGAAATTATAAAAAAACTCAATACCCCAAACACTTTATAAACACACCCAAAACCCATCATTACACACACTCAAAATCCATTTATAAACACACTAAAAAAATATACAATTGTTGACTTTGGGGTTGATTTTGGGTGTGTTTCTATGTTTAAATAGTGCTTGAGTTTTTTTATAAATACATGTCTAGAATTGGGTTTATTTATAAATTTGTAAAAAATTTATTGTTTCCAAGTCCGGTAAAAAGACTCACATACAGTCTCCAACATCATTACAAAACATTGCCTTTTATTTAAAGTCTCTGCGGATCGTCGGCATCCTATCTTCTTTTACCATTTTTAAATGATACGTGGATGTTAGAATAAAGAATGAATAAAAAACATGATTAATATGGAAGATAAATAAAGCATTGCCATGGGGTAAAGTATAAAGACTTGAACATTAACTAGCATCAACCATTTTGAGGGAACAAACATTCCATAAGAATCTAATTCCATTTCTAATAATAATATTGTTTAAACACATACAGGTATAGCACATATCGTTTCTTAAAGACATCCATAAGTATAAGGGATCTTGTTTGGGCTTAAAAGGAGTTGGGTACTTCTCCATTTCTAATTATTTGTAGGGTGAAACTTCAACTTGCTTCATGTTATCAGATCAGGTTTACCCTCATGTTAAGCTACGGTCACAAGTTCACCTCATCCAATTAAGGTGTCTACATATCAAATTTGAAATTTCGCTGCACGTGAGTGTGGAAAGTTAAGTAATTTTGCATAGGCTTAGAAGAAGTTGAGCTTCATTACAAATTTGATTTTGGAATAAAACCTCAACTTCCTTCGCTTTAGCCGTGAGTGAGAGAATTATGTTTAATATTCAAACTCTCTCTCTCTCTCTCTATACTATTAAGCGTGTGTATATATATATATATATATATATATATTGTCTAGGTCTTTTCTATATTGAATATATATTTTGTCTGTGTTTTTGATATATTTTGTGGATAATCCACTCAAGTAGTGCCTCCGGTTATCTGAGTCGGCGTGACTATCAATATCCCCCACCACGATAGTGCCGCCTATCAAAACAAACAAATATTATTACAAGCCACTGGTCCCAAATGCCAATACCTAAAGCAAACCAATCTTACGTCCTCACGATGACGTCACCAAGATGCCCTACAGTTGCCACGTGGCGGAAGCAAAGAAGCTTCGTGACATCCTCAAGGAAAGTGTATATGAAGGAGCGATTTAAAAAGGAAAAAAGAAAAAAGAAAAAAGAAAAAGGAAAAAGGAAATATTATGTTTATTACTATTTATATGTAGAAACCATGCCTAACAAGTAACAACCAATTAAGCAAGACCTGTCTTTACTTCTACCATTTTTCCACTTCCAGCTTTGTAGCTTTCTGGCAATAATGGACTGTCTTCAGAATCCAAACCCTAGCTCTGCCGGCCCTTATCACTTCGGAGAGAGCATCGATCCTTCCATCGATTTTGATGAGTTTTCAGACTGTTTCATGCTTGATTATGGTGTTGATGATCATCAAGATTCTTCGTCTTTAAGTACCGTGTCGCCGGAGAAGTTCATGGCTGACTGCTTTACTGGATCCAGTGGTGGTGCAACATCAAGAAATAGCAACAATAATATGTAAGTAATCCTTATATTTATTATCATTTTTTTTTTTAAAATTTTTTTTTTCTGAATATAATTAGCAAGGTCTATTTTATTTTGTTTTTGAAACTATGAAAAAAACTTATTTTGATTTGATTTTGTAGGAAATGCAGAAATGAGGGGAGGAGAAACAAGACAGAAATGGGTCATAGTAGGGTTGCTTTCAGAACTAAATCGGAGCTGGAGGTTATGGATGATGGATTCAAGTGGAGGAAGTACGGAAAGAAGTCAGTCAAGAACAGCCCATATCCAAGGTAATAATGATAATATTTATTCTATATCTAAGATTAGGAGGAGATCAATTATATTATCTTTTTATTAATACCATTATCCATAATGCTTTTCTTAATTGAAATTAGATTGCATAAGATAATGACAAACTTGGATATGATAATTAATTATAAGATAATAAATTTAATAATTAGGCTATTTGAAAAACTCAGCAGGATGTAAGAGCTCCTACTTACTTGATAAGAAGAGAAGTATGGCATTATTAGAGATGACAATTTTCCTCACGGGTAAGATCTTCTCAGGGATTCAACCTAGTGGGTCGGATATGAAGGAAAAAAAAACGAGTATGGGTCGGGTATGAATGACAATTTTATAAATATGCTATTAAAAGTGATTGTACCGACTAAGTTTTATATTTTATATTATTATATTATATAATTTATACAAATCTTAAGCCACACTAGTTATTTATTTAGTTAACTTCCAATCTATATATAAACATTCTTATATTGTCTTATAATTATATATTATATATATTCATTATCTTGTCTTTGTACTTTTTTTTTTTCAACAAAATAGTTATATATTGAATTTTTTTTTTTTCTGTAATGGGGTGGAACAGGGAACCCATTCCCCAACGAAGGTGGGAATGGGGAATCCCCGATATGAATTTTGCCAGTATTAAGGCAGGGATAAGGGAAAAATGCTTAAAGAGGATGGGGATAGGGATAGGGATGGGAATGACAATACCCTCCATGGATTCGACCCATTGCCATCCCTAAGCATTATTTAGGCTATTTGATCCGGTGGAGAGAGAGAGAGAGAGGACTTACTGTTGAAGAGGCATGCTTATGTTTGCTGCTTCTGCATCCAATAATATTGTTCAAAATGTTGGGGTTGAAGATGACTAGAGAAAGGCATGTAGTTGTCGATTGCCATTGATCACATCAAACGGTTCAAAATGTTGGGGTTGAAGATGACTAGAGAAAGGCATGTTGTCGATTGCCATTGATCACATCAAACAATCAATTACCACACACACACGCATAACACAAGGGCATAAAAACCAAGACAGGTCACAACTTGTCATTTTGTTACTCTCAAACTACATACTACGATAATTAAGATAATCCGCTCGAGATGATTTTTGAAAGAAACCTAAAAAAGAAAATAGACCGTCGGAATAATTGAAATAAAATACGTGTTGGCGGCTTGACTTGAGAGTTGTGGTGTCTCTCCTCTCTAACCTTGTCCATAGCACTTCTGGAGCACATATCACTTCCAATCACTACACTCAAGTTGACAGACAAATCTAAAACTATTATTTCCTTTAAATAAAGGGCACACACACTTCATTATTTTGTACTTTCTTTGTCTACGTGTGCTTAGTTCCTTTCCCTTTTACTAGATTCATATTCTCCTATATATATATAACTATATATGTATATATATATATATGTGTCATGTCTAACTTGAGAAAAATAGAATCCCTCATGAACATGGGCGGAGTTAGAATTGTAAGATTTGGGGCCGATATATAAAATACATAAGTATTCAAAAATTACGTTAAAAGCTATATATTTTAAGTTATTTATGTAAAATTTGTTAGAGTTTTAACTAGTGTCCCTATCTATTTGTAATTGTTGTTTATCACCCTATTTTTGGTAAGTAAATAACATAAAAAATCATGTATATACATAAAACGTAGTGGTGACTAATTTCACTATCTGTGGCTACGCCGCGCGCCCTTTGTATTTTTTATTAATTATTTCTAATTCGGGAATGGTTCTCATGACGTTTTTGTGCCTAAATTATATTCAACAGAAATTACTACAAATGTTCAAGTGGAGGGTGCAATGTAAAGAAGAGGGTGGAGAGGGACCGAGAAGACTCGAGCTATGTGATAACCACATATGATGGAGTGCACAATCATGAGAGCCCTTGTGTGGTATATTACAATCAGATGCCTCCTCCTGTGGATCCCAACAACATCTGGACTTTGCGAGCTTCTTCACAGTCTTCTGCTTCTTCATAGTTTGCTCCTTTATTAATTATATGCTATATATATATATATAATATATACATATGTAATCTCACCAAAATGGGGCTCGAAAATTATTTAGAACATTGTACATGATTTATATGATTGTTGTTGTTGAAGAGAATGAGATACGCTGGCTGGAAGAGAAGTGGGATACACTCATGTTATAAGAGTAAATGACATGTGTATTATAAAAAATTTATGTCTTGTATGAGTCTCGTCGGGCGATTTAGTTGGTTCGGCCGGATTGATACTCACCCTTATGTATGATAGGTGCATGCATGCAAAAACTCCTCAAGGACTTGGAGAGTATCCTTTTGATGTGCATGTGTGTTTTTTTTCCCTCTTCTATAAGGAGACTCAGTGAAATATATGCGTCCTCCCTTCTATGTACTGCCTACAACATACCCAATATTATGCCGAGGCACAAGTAGGCAAAAACAAAAGGACAAAATCAGACACAAAAGACATAAGGTGAACCGCCAAATTAGTCTCAATCCAAATGTGGTAACATTGAACTAAATGACTACTAGTTGATGACCAAAAATTGACAAACGAGAAAACTAGAACCGATTCGGCATGCGTGGTCAGGCCGAACAGGGCTGGAGTTTTGATGTTTATATGTAAGAAAGTAAATGGTAATTAATAGTGAAAGTATTAGTGTCCTACTGGCGGAGTACCCTTTAATACTTAGGGCCAATTTGGTATTGCTGTGCTATGAAAATAATCAATGTCAGATTTGCTGTGAAAGAAAACAGTTTGGCGTTTGGTAAAATTTTTGTTAAAAGTGTTGTTGGTATTGATTTTACACATAATCAGAAAATGATTGCCGCATAATTATTAAACTCAGCGCAATCATTATGCGGCAATCATTAAACTCAGTGCATAATCGAATTTTTTTATATTTATATATCTTAAAAGTTTTGCCTCTCCTCCATGGCACAAATTCTGCCTCCGCCAATGGAAATAGTATGAGATGAGTGAATAATTGTAGACTACAGTTGGTGGGTGAAACATGTCTTTTGCTTTTTGAATATCTCTATATTTATTTCCCATTGTCTTGATTTGTCAATTTTAATAGTTTCACTCCCTATACTCCTTCAATTCTTTATGCTAAGATCTCAAAGGGAAGAGAGTAAGGAGGCCAAGTGCCAGTAGTCCCACATCGATAAAATAAATCTAGACTACACGCTTTATAAGACTTTGACCTTGGCAAGCCATCGCCGAGCTGAGCAACGCAAGCTTGTAACCCAAGTGGGGGCTGTGAGGTTTTGGAACATTGACCCAATACAGCGGGTCGGGTTCGGTGTGGCTTTCCTCTGGCACGCCCATTCCAAGCCAGGAGTTGGGCCATGAGGCTAGGGCGAAGGCTCTGGCTTCATGGTTCCTAGAGTGGAGGGCACTGCGTAAGGCTGGTTTCACAGAGCAACGATTACTTCCCGCTCTTGGCAGTGGAAGGATAACGGGTCAGTGCCACCCGGACTCACTGTGGCCCGCTGGATTGTCCCAATTGAACCACAACCTTTTTGGCTCTCTATATATAAAATAAAAATTGACCCTTATGAAGAAGCCTAGCCTTTTGTTTTGGTATTTATTATTATTTATATTTTAAAACGGGATCTGACATGGAAGTCCTGATAGTTAATATAGAGATATTCGGTTGGAAACAAAGTGTTCTAAAATGTCCTCAATATTTCCAGTTTGGAGCTGCTGATGAGTAGCCAGTGATCATTGATTTGAAATTTTTGGGGATTTTGGACGCACTATTATGAAGATGACTTTTTTCGTTTATGTATTGAAGATGACTTTTGGATCACAAAGAAGTATACACGTATATACTGGCCCTTTTGGTAGTATGTATGGTGTGTGTATATATATAATTTGTTGCAATGGAGTGTAAATGTATGTAGCTTGAGGATTTATGATACTTGGAAAATTAGGTGCATTAAGTAGGGCTAGACTGCACTGGACTAAAGCCCAGTTCGTTGTTTGGTACAAGTATGGGTTGGACTGCATTGGACTTCAAAAATAATTTATTTTGATGTTTATTAAATTATTTAATATTAGAAATAATTAAATTTGATTATAAAAAAACATGTACACAAAATTAAAAGTAAGAAATCACATGAGGATACCATAAAAACAGTCCAAAAATTCACAAAATGAATAATAACCCGAAAATTCTTCTAAATACATTCAAATGATCAATAAATACTTATGTTATGTTGCTCTATTTGCCATCTACTCATTAAACATCTCAATAGCCAAATTATCCCTCAATGTAGGCCATTGGTTAGATGTGGCAATGGTATCAATAGTGCCATGATCTACATTGTTCTCAATGAAGGGATCTTAATAAATTTATTGCTCCATTGGATCTATAGACACCTCTCTCCTAATTAAGTTGTGTAATAGACAACAACCCGTTATTATTCGGCATTGTGTTTGTTCGATGAACTCCTTAAGATTGCCCAACGCATCTTAAGAAGTCCAAAACAATGTTCCACCACATTTCTTGCTGATGCATGCTTCATGTTAAAGTATTCTCAATGGTTCAAGGGTGCACTTCCTTCTCTCCATTCTGATAAGTAATATCTCGTTCCTCTATAGGGTGCAAGAAATCCTTCACAATTTGTGTAACCAGCATCCATAAGGTAATAATAACCTAAACAATAAATAGGAGCTAAGTAAAAATTAAAATTAAAATTTAAACCTTGGAAAATATTTTACCCTGTAACTTTGACTATGTCAGCAACTTGGCATAAAAATATTAGTCCATCAGAGGAAGAA